AGTTTATTCAGGAAAAATTCAATATAAGAAATAATTTCAAGACCTCTGATGATGGGTAATTTAACAATATTCAAAACTGTATATTCAAGATATATATATTCAAGATATGTATATTCAAGATGTATGGTCAGCCAAAAATTCAATTAATTAAAATAATATAAAAGAATTTTTGTTGTTGTAATTCACTACTTTTCGAAACCTCTCTAACAAATACAATAGTTTCTATTATGTAAAATAGTCACTAACGTCATAACTGACGTTAAATAACAATAAAATAATATAAGTTTTAAAATTGTGGCCCTCGAGAAATTGGTCTATCTCTATTAAGCTACATTGTATTTGAAATATTGGAAAAAGCTGTTAAGAATATTGAAATCAATCGATATATCTCCTTTATCTTATTATTTATAATTATTACCAATTATCACTATTGGTGTATTAGAAAGAGCTTTTAAGATGTTCGAAATTTATTGAAATGCTTTGTTGAATTGCAATCGGATACTACCTTTTATATATATTAATTAACATCATTATTGGTTCTGCGATTCATTTCGAAACCTGATGTAATCTACCAGATTCTATCGTTTATCTGTAGTAATCGCCGTCATTTTTGGTTCTGGGATTCATTTCAAAATCTGACCTTTTGTAAACTACCGTTCCATTTGTTTATATTTCTTTTAAAATTAAACTATAATTTTTTAAAATTTTTAAATAAATTTAAAGTATAATTGTTTGTGTATATAAATAAGCTTATGTCATAGTGTAATTAATACTTAACTCTAGTTTTAATGGCATGATAAATAATGCTATAGCTTGTTAAATTTTGAATAATTCTTTCAATTGATTTTCTGAACATTATTAAAATTCTGTGTATATATATGTATTAGCAAAATCAGAAATTAAATCTGAAACGCATATTTCATTAACTGCTTCTTTATTAGGTTAGATCTTTATGTAAGTTATAAAGTAATGAGCTAACTTTATTACAGTACTGACCGGTACCCTGAACGCTGATCCTACATCTATCAGCAAACGATTACTACTAACAAAAGGAAAGTGGTTTTGTACTTGTTGAATCCGAAAGTTTTTTCTGTGCTGCAAAAACGATCAACAAACAAACATATAGTGGATCTTATAATACATATATATATATATATACATTAATAATACTTTTTGAAAGTGCTTAAAATCATTCATGATAGGTCAGTTTCTGTTTCAGTACAAATGAACATTGATGTTGTCTTCCGAATTTCATACAATATAAAACAAATACTTCACTGCGCTACTTTTATTATCATAATTATTATCATGACAATAATTATTATCATTATCATAATTGTATAAAAATTTTTAACAATTTATTTAAATTTATTTAAAAACAAAAATTTTAAAATTGCTTTCATTAATTGGCTACTCTTCTTTTAGCACTTAAATCAGACAAACCACACAGCACGCCTAGTACACTTTCAAGACGTCATTACGATGCATCGCATAATGCAGATCAAACTCCAGCAAACACTGAGAGTCAAGCACTTAAGGAAGCACAAAATAAGATAAAACTACTGGAAGCGGATTACAAGACGCTGCATGACAAGCGTCTGCAAGATGTAAGTAAAGCATAATCGAATTGATATTAAAAGCAACAAATTTATGATACTCAAATAGATATTTTAATTCACACTTTTACGCTTTTACAGCTGAAATCTCTTCAAACTGCCCATGAACGTGAACTCGCCTCATGTCACGAAACCGTACGCATTTTACAGCAGCGCTTAAATGAACGTGATGAAGCCTTCGCACTACAGAAACGCCGTAAAATGCCCGTGGATTATTATGCGCTGAAAGCTAAGGTATTTGAGCCACTCAATAGCAAAGCCATTCAAAGATAGTTTTTGACATTTTAATTATGTTAAATTTTAGTTGAAGTGACAATTTATTTTCTGTTTACTTGGATTTTAATTGAAGTTTTAATTGTCCAAGTTTAATGATCTCTTTTATTTTGTTTATGCAACAATCCAAAAAATTTTTTTTATCTTATACAATACCGAAGAGACATCATTTTTTTGAATATATTTTTGTTATAAATTATTAAATCTTGTTAATTGAGAAAACAACATATTGTATAATATTCAATAATAT